AGAGCACTGCAAGAGTAATTAATTCAGCAGACAGCCAAAGGTCTTCAATACTCAGCTTCATTATCAATTGACAACCACCAACACCTCTTGACAGTGACTGATCTCTGTGTGGGACAGCAACTGAATATGATTCCTCACTGGAGAACAGCAAAGGGAAATGAATGGTTGAAAATGCTTTTTGTCTGTGATTCCGTCTGCTTACTGAAGCCTCTTTGTCTACCACTTGTTTCTCAACCAATTTTTCAGGGCTAATATTTTCAGTTTGAAGTATGAGCAAACATGGGCTTAAGGCCAGACAGGATGGAGCAGTCTGAAATATACTGACATAGGCCATATATCTATTTAATAGTCCGTTCTGATTGTTGCAAACATTGAAAGGACACATTATTCTTCCAAACATAATCAAAATGGGATTTCATTGCACATCAATTTTATATTAAAGGGAAACTGTATTTCATATCATGGTGATTAGTGACTAATAGGTTTAAATGCATTAAATATTACATTCAGTTAGCCACAGTTTATTGGAAAAAGGATAATGAAGGCAGAAAGACCAGTGTTCTGACTCAAAGCTAGAGCTTTGATTTTTTTTTTTTTTGGTATTGTCATTGGCATCTCTGTTTGTATTTGCATCAGCAATTCACTAGTCAAAACCAATTGGCCAACCTTTAGGAAATAAATAACAATATTTATGTAGCACTGTATATTAAATATATTAGAATCATGAGTTTAAGTGGAATTTAGTCATCCTGGTATGGGAAATTCTTTGTAAAATAACTATTATATTGATATATGTTAAATTTAACTGCATGGAATTGTTGTGATTTGTTGAGGATCTGATTAAATAGATTATTTTTCTAAAACAGCTGATCTCTGAGTTTCTCCATACAAATATGTCAATTACCATGTGTTGCTCCATATGTAGAGAAATCTTCATAAATTCAGGACAGATTTACACAGTCTTTGCTTTAGGCAAACAATATCTCAAATAATTTAATCAAGCAAATTATTGTCTATGGCCAGGATATTTCTATGATTTTTCCCCAAATAATTAAAAGTTCTTACCACTTACAAACTGGAAATACAGATAATTGATATGTCTATTCATATATGATAACCGCTCACTGGAAGTCATTAAGGCACCTTCCACCAACCCAAGAACAACCACATGAATAATTATAGAGCTAAAATAACAGTTTAGAAAGCACTGGCTTTGCCTGAAAGCACAGTCGTTTGCCAGTACTAAGAAAGTGGCAGCAGGAATGTGATAAACTAGGACTGTTTATTGCCAAAGATCTCACTGTAGAAATATAGGAGCACATATTACTTGTTACATAAACTTTTACAATCACCCAAATAAAAGAACTAACTCAGTAAGCTGATGACAGACAAGTAGGCTATTACTTCTAACCTTCAGAAGCAGCAATTCCTGGAACGGAGCAATCTACTGCGCATTTGCAAATCATGTTGCAATAAATTTTAATAGGTGTTATTTCATGCACGACAAGGAGTTGTGATAGCCGTAGCCAGTGTTCCCCGATTCAGTAATCACTGACCAGTAAATATACTGTAGCTCATAGAAATCATAAGGGCTGATATTTGCGTGTACTGTACACAACAATTTAACCGGTCATGACATGCAGCTCATCCCTCCTTGATATTTTCACAGCAAAAGCACAAGTGCTACTTTTCCCAGTTTTTTAACTGCCTTCTCATGTGCAGAGCTGAAATAATATACTGAGCCTCTAGGCACTCCACATGCATATCTCTTCAGCAGGAAATTATTAAACTTCTTCTCGAGGTGTATGTCATACATCTGTTTTATTAAACGAGGGAGTTCTGCATGAAGAATTCCATTTCAATAATTAGTTCACCTCAGAAATGTCAAGTCAGTGGTGTAAGCGAGCCCATTGTTAAAAAACAATTACAGCCGTGGTGAGAACCTTGCTTTGAAATAGTGCGAATGAAACCTTTTCGCAACATTCTATTCTGCACCTTGAATTGGCTTTTGCCATGTGAAGTGGTGTGTGATTGTGTGTGTAAGAGATTTACTGCGATACTATCCGAGACACTCAAGGGCTTCTTTCACAGCGATTGACCCTTTTCATTTATTTATCCACAGTGACCTGGTTGTGACCTTAGAAGGCATTCTGTATGCTTTTTAATTGGGTTTTCAAACAGTTAGTACATTAAACCTGTATATTATGCAGGAAAAAAAGAAAACTGTGAGGCGGTTAGAGGGTTAGTTTACCCCAAAATGAAAAATCTGTCATCAGTTTCTTACCCTCACGTCATTCAAAACCTGCAAGACTTTAGTTCATCTTCAAAACACAAATAAACATATTTTGAATTCACATATAAACATTGATAAATGCACATACCGTACAGTATATATATGATGAATGTAAAATCAAACATGCTTGATTAATGCTGTTTAAAGCGTTTGGTTGGAATGGACTTTCAATGGTAGGATGTAGGCTACTGTAAATCTCTCAGGTTCCATTAAAAATATTTTAGTTTGTGATTCAAAAATGAACAAAAGTCTTGTGAGTTTTCTAAAGGACAAGAGGGTAAATTGTCAAAAAGAAATAATTCTCCAGTGTGTTATTGCTGCACCACTAGAGTTACCGAACAGAAATGGAAAAATAATTATTGTTCTCAAACACCTTTCCCCTGTCTGCCATTGGTCAAAACAAACAGATAGCACCGCCCCAAACTAACACCATTGGCTGAGACCCTGTTGCTATGCTGGGTTGGTCAGGATAATCAAACAAACAAAACAATGTTTTTGATAACACCACAGAGCCTCAGTGTTTACACTTTTCAGCATACTCAACCTACAAATGACTTACAAGCACTCCGCATATTAAGCTGGGATAAGAAAAAGTATTTTAACATCAAACAACATAAACAATGGCCAACGGATAAGAAAAGCTGGAAAATTACAAATCATCAAGCAGCTTTGAACATATTATTTTGAAATGTTACAGCCGTCTAGTTTTCTACTAAGCCACATTCAGAGATCTGTTTATTTTGTTGGAGGAAAAGGGGCGTCAGCTCATAGTGGAGTGTCTGACTGGTTTGTAGAAGAGTGAAGAGCCCTCTGAGAAAGCACTTGTGATCTTTGAGTAAAGCTGTTGTGCTGAGAGGGAGAGGAGGAGGCATTCTGGCACGGCTCGGCTGATATACATAAGAGCTGTGATTTACTGGATTCAAATCCTCACCCACAAAAAGAGCAGAACGCTGCCACACAACAGTGGATATTCATGTGTCTTCATTTTATACATCTTAAACCTGGATGACAGTTTAAGTTTGTGTAAAAGCAGACAGCAAATTAATAACAGAAAAAAAGACTATTTCTATTGAACACATATATACATATCTCTGTGGCTTAGTAGAAAAACTAGACTGCTGTAACATTTCAAAATAATATATTCAAAGCTGCTTGTTGACTATACAGTACCTGTCATTTTTTAATGACAAGTAGAAGGACATATTATTTTTTAAGATTTTGGATAAAATATCCATGGCAAAAAAAATCTAATTAATATCTTATTATTATTAATAAATGTTATATTTACATATTTAATATCTACACATATCAAAAATTACTCATAAACCATTTCCCCCCAATATTATAAATGGATTATTGGGTTTTTTAAAAATTGCCATATTCAAAACAGGTTAGCTTTGTGTAGCTATAAGAATTCATTATGGCACTTCAGTAAAAGTTTTAATTTGACTATAGTATTTCATTATTTATAAACTTTCACATGATTGTTTGATATTACTGTAATATAACTCTTCTGCTGTTATGTTAATCACACAAATGTAATATGATTCAGAAAGATATTGAATCTTTGAAATGATTCTTACCAAAGAAATGTGAATAAGTAATACAATATTCAATTTTCAGATTCAGATAACTCTCTCTATGTGTAATATACAGTATAAAATATAGAAACAAGATACACTTGTACATAGTCATATACACTTTTATATGCACTTATATATATTTCCACAAATATACATGCACATTCTGGAATTCTCAAAGTCTAGGTAAAAATCCAGAGGTTGAGGATTGGCAAGGTTAGATTTTGAAAGATATACAATATGTTCCTAGTGAACTGCTCATTTCTTTCTCCTCTTTCCTCCACCTGCCTACCCCAGACCCAATTACTCACAGAAATATGTCCACGTTTTCCATGTCTCCCGTAATACAGAGGCTCTCCAGCAGAACTCAATTCACGTTGGTAATGAGTCTGTACTCTAACATTTCCCCATGCAGACAGACCAATCTGCCACAGCGCTGCACATATAGGGCTTTTGCATTAGGCAAAAGCTCAGAGGGAATCGAATCCATGAGATATTGCTTTTTTCATTAGGTTGGAGTTTGACGTTCACTTGGCTGAGAATTCGCAAAAATAACCCTGTGCACACCTGGGTCAAAAAGTCTGCAATGTGTAGGTGTTGTCCTACAAATCAGCAAAAGCTTCCATTATTGTTTAATAATCATCATCATCATCATCAATAATTATAATACTGGTAATGGTAGTCAGATACTGATAGTGATAGTCAAGCTCATCGTCTCACAGACAACAGTCAATCAAGTGAGCAGATGCTTTTCTTTTTGCACCACATGGCTTTTCTTTACAGTATTCAGCATGTAGACTAACATCTTATGGCATTCAATCTGTCAGAATGGATTCTGTCTTCACTGATTCATTCAACATTTGGTAAATAGAAAGGCCATTCCTTGTACAAGAATCCTTAAGGATTCATAAAATAAATGAAAAATAAAACCTTTTTTTCTGTCAAGCCTTCTATTTTGTGAGTGTGTATATGTGTTTGTGTGGGTGTGTAAGCAAGACTTTCAATAATGAAGAGCTTTTGGACACAAGCGTTTTTACCTCAGTAGTTCTTCAAACAAAACTAAAACACATACAGTACCACACTTCAAAAAAATTCATTGTCATTAAAAACACTTAATCTTGACTTACGTAGTCATCATATGATTTGTGCGTGGCTTGCAGTAGCGGGGCTCTGTATCCAGGGGTCCCTGTAGTTCCTCTGGCTCGGGGTGCAGACACTCCCCTGGCTAGTGTGGGTGTTGGGACGGAGGTGCGTGTTCCCACAGTCCCTCTGGGTGCTGCTGCTCCTCGTCCAGGTGGAGGGGGTGGAGCTGCCCCCCCTCGACCTCTAAAGACATAAAGTAAGAGAAAATATATGATATAATATATAATAGAAATATATTATTTTTTTCTTATTTTATTTTGTTTTATGAAAATATACATATTATATTTTATATTATAATATTTTATATATTTATTAAGAGTTTTGGCGCAGTATATTTGTTGTTATTTTGTTTTTAATTGCTTATTTTATTATATTTGTTATGCATTTAATATTAAAATAAAATACAAAAATACTGATAAACCAACTTTCCAATAATGACAATAATTTAACTAAATTTATTTGAATTAATAAAAAAAAAACTCTAAATAGTTTGTGTCTGTGTAGATTTAGCTTAATGTATAAGAATTTTGATTCATATGAATACTGTAAGTCATTTACATTGTACAGTATTTATTTTCTTAGGCGCTTCAATAAAAGTGTTAATTTGATAGTATATCAGCACCAAACCTTTCCATAATTGTTTGATATTGCTGTGATATAACTCTTCTGCAGAACCACACATTTCTGTATAGACACATACCAAAGGCTTGATGCAGTGGCAGCTCTATGCAAAATTAGTGCAGCACAACTCCAATGTTTACAGATAAAAAAAAAAATTAGCATTTTGTGTGAAGTCATTTGCTGCAGTGCTATAATAGTGGGTTGCTGTTAGCTGGTGTTTTCATCACCGACAGCCTATTAAAGCCCTGTGAACCATAATGCCAGTGATTCAATAAGGTGAGACAGCAGAGTTTTCAAAGATATTGCAATATTCACTGCCTCAGCTCTTTTCTTTCATTGCTCTGCTCTGGTTACACACTGTAAGAGTGGCAGTGAAGAATGGCATCAAAAATCAGTCTGTAGAACACATTGTTTCATTCAGTGCGATGAGAGACAGCTTTATTTCGCTCCCTTGTGCTGCCATTGTGGACTCAAGGGGTGAAGCTGTCCATTTCTGGAGTAATTTTCAACCTGATTACTGTTGCAGCATGGCAGATGGAGTTGGCAGCACTGGTGAAAGGCAGATGTTTCGGTCTGTCCAGTTCTACATTTTGTCCATCCAAATCTAAAGATCCTACAGAGACTAATGGCCTCATCAGTGTTGTTGTTTTTGCCATGCTGATTTGTGGTAATGACTTCTCAGGGCACATCAAGGGCAAGAGGCGCTTTATCCGCCAGGAACAGTAAACAGAAAGATCATATTTTGAATCTATTATTACTACCTGAGGTAATGCAAGCTGTCGTTGTTTTGGGAGAATCCTAGAGGGATCTTCAGAGGCTCAAGCAAGCCAGAACAAGTGCAGTGTGAAATGTATGAAATAAACATTAAAGATGGCGTAAATAATGTATGACGGTATATATAAGTTATGCTTTTGATGAGAACAATTAAAGCTTCACCTGCTAACCTGATTAATAACACTGAGCCTCAGGGCACTTTCATGATACAACAGTGCGCAGATGTTTGGGAGTGAAAATTGAGCCTCTATTAGAGTTGTTAACGGTTAGAGTTAAAGCAGTTAGAGTAAACTTGGATGACTTCGCTTTCATCAGAAATGCAGAATAAGATTTTTTTTAAGGTTATGTGATATTTATTCTGTTAGATCTGATTTGTACTTCATTTATTAACAAGCTCAAATCACTATGTTAGTTAAAGGAATAGTTCACCCAAAACTTATTTTGACAGACATTTTCTCCTTCTGATAAGACTAAAAATAATAGATTAAAAAAAAATAAAAACTTTCCTCAAAGGGAGAATATACAAGAAATATTCAAAAACCTCTTGCTTTGTGTTCCACGGAAGAAAAAAATCAGACGGATTTGGAATGACATGAAAGCGAATAAATGATGGCATACTTGGATGAGCTATTCCTTTAAGGTTTCTGTGATTGTTCAGAGGGGTGGTGAGGTGAAGCTACTGTACCGGGTGGAGGCTGTGGAGGTCAGACGTAAGCCTCGTCCTTGTGCGGTTCTTCCTCGGCTTGGGTCATCTGAGCCATTTAAGTAGGAGAGCTCACGAAGTTGCTCCTGCCTGATCTCATCATTGTAATCCTGTGGAAAGAAAAAACAGCAAACCTTACATAAAAATACATTTCTATACAAATGTGAATGTGTTGTATGTGCATCTCATCTGACATGCTTTTACAAAAAGAACTGATCCAGTTGGATGTACATCTTGCAGAAGCCAGCGTCAAAGCAACTGAGTTTTAAATGCATCGCCAGACCACCAGAACGTTGGCAGGGAATGTTAAATATACTGCCAGAAAGTTTTGCTGACTTCAAACAAAAAAACAAGGATAAAAAAAGAAATCTGTTTTAGCTTGTTTTTCAGATGTGGAGGACAAGAAACATTTTTGCATACATACTGACAAAAAGGCACCATATGACACACTCCAAAATATGGTGCAGAATGAGGGAACGTGATGCACACATATCTTTCATTTAGAGTAAGAGAAATGATAGAGGCAGGAGAAAAATAGAGCGCTGGCTTATTAACTTTGTTTGACATCAGCTATCAGTGCATTGTTGTGAAAGAATAATTCCACTTTCTGCATTTATAAAGTCCTTCTCTCATTTGATTGAACATGACAGGGTCCTGAATCACAAGGACGATTACAGAGTGGATAGCGCTTATTTTATTATCATGTCACTGCCACAGGCAGATAAACTGAGCCTCATTTCCACCAGCCACTTATTCCCTTCCTGGTTGGCACAACAGCTGGGTACAGGCAAATATCAGACATGGCAGCTAGAAGAGAGTGGCCTTTCCACAGAGATATGCTCAACATCAATAAAGATTGCATTGCTGAGATTTAGAGCTGCTTTTGTGTCCAATAAATGGGCTCGGGCTTGTCCATTGTTAAATAAAACGTAAATATACCAAATACAGTGTTTAACTGGCAAAGCTATATAATATATATGACAACATGTTTTTGTTTTGTTTTTTTGGAATGAAGTCTCTTATATTTGTCAAGGGTGCTTATATTTGATCAAAGAATGCTGTAATATTGTAAAATACTATTACAATTTAAAATAAAACTTAATATATTTTGAAATGTAATTTATTCCAGTAATGGCAAAGCTGAATTTTCAGCAGGCATTATTGCAGTCTTAAGTGTCACATGATCCTTCAGAAATTTGGTGCTTATTATTATTAATGTTAAAAACAGGTTTGCTGCTTAATATCTTTGTGGAAACCATGATACATTTTTTTCCAGGATTCCATAATGAATAGAAAGTTAAAAACAATAGCATTTATTTGAAAGAGAAATCTTCAATAACATTATAAATCTCTTTGCTGTCACTTTTTGATCAATTTAATTCATCCTCGATGAATAAAAGTATTAACTTTCTTCAAAAAAGATCCCAAACATAGTGCATTTATTAAAACACTACATAAATATCCATCCACTACAGTGCTAATTGGTGAAACTTTTGGAAATAGGACAAATGAGGGGTGATTATTTCACAGTCCTCTGAAGATATTCTTAGTAACTGCAGAGAGAATCACCAAAGAAATCTAAAACCTAGCGGTTGGAATTTTGATCATTTCTATAACATGTTGAAAGGTGGGAGGTGTGTTAGGTTCTTGGATCAGCGCTAGCTAGGTTTTCTCTGTTGCCAGGGCAGGCCATGTCATAGCCTAAACAATCTGACTGCATTCCTAGCCTTGAGAAATGAGGGTAACACATGGACAGACAGAAATTTATTTTATACTGATCAGATGTAATGAGCATTCTGATGGACTCATTATGTAGAGTGTCTTGAGGTAAAGCTAATTATGTTCTGAATCAGATTTAATAGCAGCGATAATGCATTGATTCAGGATATAAACAGGGAGTCTTAAAAAATAACAGGCCAAATTGTGTCCAGCAAGCCAGTCAGGCTAAAAAATAAATAAATGAAAACAAATTCTTGCTTTTGCTTTTCAGTCTCCGTATGAGTCTGTACATCCACTCTGTATTAATGGTATGTATTAGACTTACTCCTGCAAAATCTAGCCAGTTTCCTTCTTAATGAGACTACAGTCAATGCATGCACAGTACTGCCGGCCGCTTAGGAGAACCCACTGACACCTACTAAAGATGCTCACTCTTTTCTTTTGGCAGTGTGTGAGATTGTGTAATCGTATTCACATAGGCTTTCTGTAGGCTTTATCAACAAAGGTTTAGGCCTATCAGTAGTCCAGGTTGCAAAGGCGTTTTGTTTGTTTGTTTTTTTAAAGACATATTCATTGTATGTTAACCAACCTAATCTGGAATTACAAAATTCATTCAATGGAACTTCACAATTCATAGTGCAATTTAATCCAGAGCTAGAGATAATCTGCATGCAGCTTTATTTTATTGACAATGATACATACATAAATCATTGTCTCTATGCTCTACTGTTTTAAAAAGACATTACTTTTATTCAGGAAGGATGCATTAAACTGAATAAATATGATAGTAAAGACATTTTATAATGTTACAAAAGATTTCTATTTCAGATAAATGCTGTTCTTTTAAACGTCACATCAAAGAATCCTGAAAAACAGTATCATGGCTTCCACAAAAATATTAAGCAGGACAGCTGTTTCAAACTGAAAATAAGATTTTTTTTTCTTGAGCAGCAAATCAGCATATTGAAATGATTTCTGAAGGATCATGACTGAAGACTGGAGTAATGATGTTGAAAATTCAGCTTTGCCACCCTAGTAAAAAGTAATATATTTAAAATTCATTTATTTCATACTAAGTATAGTTAAAGTCTATTAACATATTTACTGACAGATAACTCGAAATTTACTGATATAAAAAATTATAATTATGCTTTATTTGGCGTACTACTTGTGCACAATGCACATTTCTTAATATGAAGTCTAAAATGTGTTTTAATGTCACTTTTGATGAAGATTGTATGATCTTTGAGTAATATTGCCCTTGTGAAAAAAAAGTATACTTTAATATCACTAATCAAGCATGTAAATAGGCATATACTTAAAGTGTACTAAGTATACTTGAAGTTGTTCCAATTTAGCATAGAAAAGTACACTAAATACACTTAAAGTTATACTTTAGTATAATTTAATTACAACTAAAATACACTTAGTACAAAAAATAGTTGTTCCAAAATAGCACACTTCAAGTTAACTAATCATTAACACACTTGAAGTATACTGACAATTAGTCTGGCTGCAAGTATACTTAGTTTACGTTTTGTTCACTAGGGTGGTCTTTAAATGCAAAATATTTCAAGTGTACCTGAAGTGTACTTGCAATAGTTCCACTTTAGCACAATAAAATATACTAAGTATTAGGGCTGGGTTTTGACACAAATTTCACGATTCGATTCGATTCGATTACCAATTCAATTTGATTCGATTCAATATCAATTATTTTGAATACATATCAGGTACAGTAGCTACATGCCAAATTTCTCAAGGAAAAAAAATCTCTCAACTAAAATATGCATGAGAGTAAGTTGGTACTACATTATAATGTTGAAGGTTAAAATTTATAATTTTAAATACATTTTTATCAATTAAAAAAAATAAAAATTATGGTTAAAATTGACTGATTTGTGCTGTACAACTGCTTAAATTGCACTTAATTAAGTTTTTATAATAATTAAGTTACAATTACTTCAGTAAGTCATAAAAACTTGGACGGATTTATTCAAACATAAATAAAGCATTAAAGAAGGCCTAGGCCTACAGCGATCTGTCATTCCACATTAAACAGCGCCAAAACGGCATTTATTGTTTAAATACTGCAATACAATGGACATAAATTGAAATCTGAGACTTTGTTTCATATTTAAAGTACCAATGAACAATCCTTGTTGCGATTTATTGGATGGGAAGTGCGCTTCAATGTTCCATCCATTAAATGAAAACAGGCTAGACTAATCGATTCTTGGGATTTAAGAATCGATATAGTTCCTTAAAAGTGAGAATCGATTAAAATCGAGATGGCGATATTTTTTACCCAAACCTACTAAGTATATCTTTAATTGTACTTCAGCACTATTAAGCTGCATTAAGTACAAAATTAGTTGTTCCAATTTAGCAGACTTTAAGTATACCAGTTTACTATACTAAAAGTACAATTGCAGGGTATTTTATTAAGTAAATAAATATTAAAATGTATTTGTAGTATACTTAGCATGAAATAAATGTATTTCAAATACATTTAAGTATATTTATTTTCCACTATGGCAATTCAGGAATAAATTACATTTTAAAATATATTCAAACTGAAAACGGTTGTTCTGAATTGTAAAAATATGTCATAATATTGCATTTTTACTGTACTTTTAATTCAATAAATACAGCCATGGTAACTATGAAAGATTTCTTTAAAAACATAAAAAATATCTTACTAATGGTAGTGTATGTGTTTGTTGGGAATTATTTGGAAGCTGAGTCTCCCTCCCTTTGCTAACAGCTTCCACTTTTCTGGGAAAGTTTTGCAGTAGCCATTTTCTCTCATTCAGACACAAGAGCATCACTAAGGACAGGTAATGATGATGAGTCAGGGGTCTGGCTCTTAGTCTGTGTTCCAATTCATCTCAAAGGGATTAAATAGGAGTTGAGCTTGGTGCAGGTCAGTCAAGTTCTTCCACACTAGACTCGGTAAAACATTTTTTAATAGACTTTTCTTTGTACACTGTGGCATTGTGATGTGTGATGCTGGAACAGAAAATGGCTTCCCGAAACTATTGCAAGAAAGAAGCACACAATACATTATAATGTCATGTGTGCCATAGCATTAAGGTTTGTTTTCACTGGATTTAAGGAGCCTAGCCAAAGCCTTTAATTAGAAGGGGGCTATAATTTCATGTCTCTATAAAACAAATGCTATGACATATTCACATGGCTGCCTAGATACTATTAACATTTCAAAGTGCACTATCTTGAGATGCCAGCACACTCCTTTAATCCTGACAGGAATCAAGCTTTCTGACAAAAAAAAAAATTAGTAGACCACTATAAACAAATTCAAAGACGGAAAGACATCAAGACATTAGCTCCAAACCCTAATGAGCTGCCTTGCCACCTACTGCCTGCATAGGAAGCTGCTTTTATGGCAGAATCCTAACTGAAATGGACACACATTGCTGTCTTAGAATTTGGGTAAAAAAGAAGGCATCATAACTATGTCAAGAGCATGTCTATGACATTTAAAAAAAAACTTACAGATACAGATTAGAAACAGAGCTATTGAGACTGGAAACTCATCTGCTTGGTATTCTGCAGTGGGCATAAAGATAAAACATGGAACAACACTGACAGCAGTACATATGGAGGATATGACCAGACCAGTGATGCAAAGATGTGGCCCAAGAGGTTAAGAGCCTGCCTAAAGCCCAGGGCAGGAGAGGTGAATGTAGGGAATCTCTCCTAGAACCAGGGCCGTTAAAATTATTAGAGAAATAATGCACTCCCGAACTGGTTATGTGGCCACGTCGCCGCGCCTATTAATGGAATGAAATGCAATTTCATTATTGCGATAGAAAACACTGTAACAAACGGTTTCCACTGATTAAGAAATATTTTTGTTTGCTTGGGTGGTAATATTAGGCCTATTATATTAATAGGGAAGGGGGCCCAAAAATTAGTTTTGCCCATATGTCACGAAAAGAGGTAAATCCGGCCCTGCCTAGAACGTTTCCTCCCTGAAGCCAACAACTCATACTGCTACATTAATATTTACAGTCTGGACTATATACAGAGATATTCATTTGACACATTAATTACCTTTGAAAGCTCCAGGACCCATTTTTTCTAACGTTACAAGTAAGCTAGTGTGTGTACATTACTGTTAAAAAGGTTTGTGGTTGATAACATTTTTAAATGTTTTTGAAAGTCTCACCAAGGATGCGTTTTTTTAATCAAAAATTCAGTCCAAACAGTAATATGGTGAAATATTATTGCAATTTAAAATATCTGTTTTCTATTTTAATATGTTTCGTGTAATTTATTGCTGAAAATTTTCAGCAGCCATTACTCCAGTCTTCAGTGTCACATGAGCCTTCAGAACTCATTCTGATATGCTGATTTGGTGCTCAAAATTAAATAAATTAATGAATGAATAAATAAATAAATCTTATTATTTCTACTACTATTAAAAAGTTGTTCTGCTTATTTATTTATTTGTATAGATTGAACACATTAATTTGAAATCTCTTTAAAAGTAATATTATTTTAAATCTTACTGACTTCTGAACTGTACTATACATATAGTCAAAAAGGCAGAAGAACTTTTCATGTTAAGCCATTTGGTTTTTTTAAAAAGAAAATCCAGAATCATAACCTAGGGTTAAATTAAGTGGATTTGCAAAATACATTATCAGAAACTAGCAGCATTCTCTCGGTTTCTAGCCAATTCCAGCATGTTAAATATGCAATTTTGTAAGGCAGATCTCCAATGTATATATTTAATCATATGCATAACTCTATAATTTTTTTTCCCTACACAATAAACATGAACAAATGTATGTATGCAGGAGAGCACTAGAGTTCAGTATTGGCTGAACATCTCATCTTGGCTTCCAGCTCACCATCCCTCTCAAGGAATCCAACTGTATGAACTTACTGGAACAAGGAATTTCTTAATCTCCTCCAGGGCATGGCTCATGCGGGAATAGGCTTCTCCAGGTGGTGCGAAAACTTCAATTAAAACATGAAGATCGTTGCTCAAATGGGCGTATTTCGCCTCTCCACTTTTCCTCAGCTCTTCCTCCTAGAGATGGAAAAATATCAAGTCAGGACTTCTGTGTGAAGAATTAATCATGTCATTAATTAATTAAATAAATAGTACTTTTTTCCACCACCTCCAATCCACATTATGCATATTTTGAACTGAGAGTGAACTGGAAAGGCATTAAAGGGATAGTTCAGTTCTGTCATCATTTACTCACCCTCACGTGGGACATTTTTCAAATTATCTTTTTGTCCCACATAGAAAGGAAAGTCATACAGGTGCGACATGAAGGTGACAGAATAATAATTTTTAGGTGAGCTATCCCTTTAAGAAAGAAGCTCTTTTTGAGGTGATGATGTTACAAATGTCACAAAGATGACTTTTTTTTAGCTCACATTTAATAATAATTCTCATAACGGCATAGGAAAATTGTGAACAATGGTACCTATCAACACCCTTACTCTGTAACACAGATAATGGGTACGTAGATACTGCAAATCATTATGCTTAAATCTGCCCGAGGGCTTTTTGTCAGAAATAAATTGACACTGTCACCTTTCTGACTAAATTCTGCCATCGGAAGAGCAGAAAAGGGTGATATTTCACAGAAATATTCAGTTTCTCAATTCTCTCTGATTGCTGAAGGTGTTCTGTAGCTCTTCAAAAAACTTAAAACTTCACAAAGCTTGTAATTGCGGTAGCCAACATTTCTGTCTAATGTTGATTGCCATTCGGCTGTGGCTTCTTCATAAAGACAGGAGGGCTTTGATGTAGGGGCCATTCACAGATGTCTGATCACTGATGCGGGCCCTTGTAGCCCCTTCAGCTTTAATAAACACTTACCGATTCCATCTCTCTATCAAGTCAAAGTGACCCAAGTATTTTTCCATCATGCTTTGCATGTACGAAAGGTCAGGAGACACTTAAGCTTTCACAACATTTCTGAGAGGCGTAATCATATTTTGTGGGCTCCGTATACAGGCGCTGACGAATTGTGAAGATGTGATCATTTTGCGAGCAGACACAAATATATGCATGTTGGATGGACGCTGTGGGTGTTTCCGGATTGACTTAAAAACGGACAGACAAAAGGGGAAGCAGGAGACAGTGAAAAGTTTGCTGCCTCATTTACAGTCCTCTGGAAAACCGTTCGTCAGATGGCATTTGTTCTGTTTCAAGCTTGAAAGCTTTAACTTTCCTTTCATGTCAATCCATGAAGAAAATGTTCTGTTGTTTAAAAAGGTAGGTCTGTCTCCCAGCATGCATTTCAAAAGGCACTCAAGTAAGCATGTCTAAGCACAGCAGAATCCTCTTCAAATGTGACAAAATGAAGGGTTCCTCAAATGTATTCCCGGTAAAGTACAAATAGTGAATCTGACACTTATAAGCCTGACAGTTATCCAGCGCCCCTATGGAGTTAAAGAGCTCAGATTTGAAACATTCGAACAAAAGCTTATAAAGCTTATAAAATCTTTTCCTGAAACTCATGGAAACGGCACTATGGGTCATAATAAATGCGGCATTTATTTTCCTTCCATAAAAAAATTAAGGATATGAGTTAAATATTTCTGCTGTGTATCCCCAGATTGAGATTTGCACTACATTTTGCTTTGTGGTGATTGTAATATCCTGAAATGCCATTTTTTGATTCAGTCAATTTGCTGCCCTTAGACACAAGCTGTTCATTTATTTGCCTAGGGAATCATTCTAAATGCAATATTCTTTGCTTTGCTGATCCTTGGATGTAGAGAGTCTATTATATGAAGACCTCAGCAGGACTTTCAGATGCTGCACAGACAAGTCTATAAAGATGCACGGCAGACTCTTAATTTCATATGTATAACAAACCTGTACCAGCTCAAGGTGACTCTTTATAATGGAATATGTTTGCATTAATGATTGCCTTTGGGATTTAAAACAATCCAACAGGCTCTTGTTTGAGTTCTGCCATAAATTTAAATAGATTTCAGACCATGGTTCATCCGCATTGTTAAAACAGTGTGAAATTGTGGTGAACAGTGTGTTTGTAAATTAAAAAGGAACCTTCTGCTTGTATAATTCCCCACATGGCTATTTGGAATCAGACAATGCATATTCCTGTCTCATTTGGACAACTTTTTAGCATGTAACAATGTAAGACAATAACAAGACATTGGTCTTGTTTGGTTCTGTGAAATTATTGCAACGAACAAAGATTTTAGTAAAAACAATATGCATAATATGCTTAAATTAAAGTCTGAGAGGAAATTCATTAAGAAAGGATTATAGCCCTAAAAGCATGTTTTATTTGCATGTTATCTGCATTGCTTGAGCACGCAATTCACTTAAGAAATTATGTAAATCGGGTAATGGTAAAATTGGGGCTGTGTGCATGACATGATGTACACAGTGCTGCTTGCGCAATGCTGATATATAAATGGAGGCAAAGCCACATACACTATACACAATATACAAGGAGATGTGAAAATAAATTTAGTAAAAAATATTTCAATTGGATACAACCAGGTCATGTTGCAACAAATTGTTCCGACATCTTATATGGTTTTCTGATCAATATTGCATATGAAAAAAATATTTCATTACTCTTTTTTTGAGTCATAGATCAACGAATCTTATTTCAGTGATAACACCACATTGATTAATCCATAGGCAGATCCGGTGCATTCACTTCATTTATATGAAAGGAGGTGTTTGCGCTGAAAAGAATGTTTAAATATTCACAGCACAGCGCTAAACAGCGCACATGCCTGTAGCACCTGGCTAAAATAGATTGCAGGTTGAATGTGAACAAGACACTGGGTTTTGCACTGTGCACTACATTTCATTCCTCTAACACATTCAGAACATTCTTCGGAGACCAAATGAGAACAAACAGCTTTTGTGTAAATAATTCATACTACTCAGGTAACTGTAAATGCATTGCTGATTGCACAAAGTTTCTGTTGACTTTGTGGAAATCTTATGATAACAAAGTTTAATTTCATCATGGTGTTGTTGAAAAAACGGATTGTTTCATGTTACTGGTTAAACAACATTCAAGATTGTTGTAAATATGCACGCATCAACTGAATGCTATTAATATGCCAAGTCTCCATGCTTCACTTGTGCCTAACAACACCCTTTAACAGTGGTAAAATCGCTTTGGTAAAAACACAGCCTCACTTTGCTTATTGCTTCATTCCATTTCATACACTACACTGAAAGAAAACTATTATTTGCTTGATATGAATGTTTTTCATTCAATGGAGTTACATTCAATAATATTACATTAAATGGACATTTTATTGAGCTGGGGAAATCAGGATGGCCTATTATGAGATGACAGGAGCAGCAAACCGAGAAATATTACATTTGGAACGATTCTCTGGCTAGGTAAATGACCAGCATGTCTCTTAGGGCAGCTGTTTGGCTGAATCACAAAATGCCATTTCTAAACATTACACTCACCACAACTTAATACAAAGCACTTGTTTAAATCAGATCCACTGAGAAAGAACCATACTGCGAATAGTCTCAACAGCTCCTTTACAATCTAGAGATGTTGTTGATTCTACAAACACTGACAATTAAAAAAAAAACACATAGGTCTGTTAGGCTGCCAGGCTTTACTTTCAGCCAAATTACACAGTATGTGAGTCAGTGCTATCTATTTGTGATATAGTTTGCGATATATATTTCTTTTTTCAAGAATTTATACAACATCAGTAAATGCTAAAAAGAGCAGTTCTTCCTTTATCTAGGAGCATATAGTGCAGGTAATGATCTTCAGTCTCAGTGTCATCTCACACTTTGCTCTGTCAGCCACTACTGATGCTTGTTAGACTCACACAAATGAAAGGTTTACAGGATTTAAGGGATAAAGCACTCTGCTCTGGAATAAATGTAGTGTGCATAACATGTACAAGCTTATGGAAGCCCATTTCCTCCACATAAAAAAATAATAATCATAGTTTGGTAAATCATAATTATGATATAAAAATGAAAAATTATGAGATAAGTCATAATTTAAGATCAAAAGTTGAAATTATGACATACTAAATCATAATTATGAGATAAAAAGTTATAATAATTAAAAAGTTGAAATTGTCATAAAAGGTCATAATTGACAAAAATATTGTCATTTAAATTTTTTTATTTTTAGTAGCCAATATTTCAATATAATTATAACATAAAAGGTTTTTCAAATTATGAATATTAAGTCATATGACATAAAAACTGAATTTTGAAAATTGAAATAATAAGATAAAAGTTCACAATTGTGAAATAAAAAGTCAACATTTTATGTCATAATTAATTATTTTTAATCTCATGACTTAGTATGTCATAATGACCCTTTAACTTATATATTACTTTCTGACTTTATATGTCATATCAAAACACTTTTTTTTTTCTTTCGTGGCAGAAACAGACTTCCATAGAATTACTATATTATTATACTTTCTCCTTGACAAAAATCAATATATGGTTTAATACAGGTCTAATCAAATGCAGGTAGTTTGCTTTTGTCATGAGCAGTCAGTTTAGATATTAATATCTGAAAATATGCTGGTACAGTTATGGCATATATGGTTACAGACAAATCAATGTAAATCATAATAATAATACTCAAAGCATTTATGGAATATATAAAATTTATACAGTACACAGGAGGATAAAGAAGGAAGCTGTTGCCAGTCATCCTACCTTGCCTTTATCCCTCATTGAACCCTTGCCGAGGATGGACATCTTTGCTCCCGTTTCCTCTTGTAATCTTTTCATGGAATTGCCCCTGGGCCCCAGCAGTTTCCCAACAAAATTAAACTGTAATAGAGGAGAGAAAAGGCAATAAGGTTGGTCTCTCACACTGCCTGCTTCCTAGACAGTTGCCTCAGTTACCTCACAGTCAATAAAACACATTCAAAAGTAAGTTGTTTTTTCCCATCATGCACAAAAACTACAGTGAGAGAATTAAAAATTCTTATTGGGTTCAAAATTAAATCTGTGGCAGTCATCGATCATTTTTAGGTTCAAGTTTTCAGAAGCGATCAAAAAAGATGTGAGAGTCTACACCTGTTTCTGCAGGGCACTGCAGCCACTCATGTGTCTAATCGATGTTTGGGGTCAGTGGTTGGGCTCCGCTGCTTTCAGAGATATTATAACATGCACCAAATGCCAAAAGGGATCTTCAAAATGATCCAGATGTCCATGCTTGAATGAGGCATAACATAATGAGTTTATTTCCAATGGGGATTCAAGTAATACTACCCAGATGATGAGCTATCCAGCAACTGCCTTGGGGCAGCAACTAACATTTCAGTCACACAGCAGATCAGCGGTCACTGAGAACACTTGGCCTTCACCGTTTTTTCACCCGCTCTCTCCGTTGGTTTACTCACATCTGTGCATCATACAACTGTATCTTCGAGGGATTTCTGAGTCTTACACATTGCAATCAGATTTGGGCTGCTGAGGGTTGTTTAATGCCCATGATAACAACAAATCTTAAACAGTCAATAAATGCTGCCATTGTAAGAAAAAGTGCCCTTGTATAAAGTGGTGCATCAGATTCCCTTTATAACAGTGTCACTTCATCACTGTCTGCTCATTTTCAGTGTTCATCGCTGTCTCTGATGTATTGCCACAATCCGCTTAGCCAGCAGCCTCTCTAAATTCTCTTTAGATGTAATGTTTTTGAGAAACCTTTTAAAAAAACATTTAGTATGTTTTTTACACAGGACAATAAAACAGAAGAAAGTGACCTTTTGGATGATGATAATGCATCTAAACACACACGTTCACAATTTTTTACTTAACGTCTTAAAAACACAGTTCTAATGGCAAAAGACAAAAAAAAAAAAGACGGTCAAAATGTCTTTGTGTGTGTGGATGTTGAAGTGGGGATGAATTTTAAAAGAAATCTTCTGTGTGAACTGTAAAACTAATGAACTTTTGAACTAATTGTACTGTGCAAACAGAAAAAAAAAGACAGCAACGCAACTGAAATGTTCAAAGCCCAGAAAGGTAGCAAGGACATCGATAATATAGTCCATGTGACATCAGTGGCTCAACCTTAATGTTAAGAACCTACGAGAATACTTTGTGTGCAAAGAAAACAAAAATAATGACTTTATTCAACAATTTCTTCTCTAACGTGTCAGTCTTTAATGCACGTTCAGGAAAGTGCAACAACACATGTGTGTGGTGGTGCTGATGTCCATCTCTCTTAGTTCATCGTCTGTATATTCTGGTTCAAATAAGTAAGGCTGTGCAAAAAATCCCTCTCTGTCGAAATCTTCAGGCATGTTTACGAAGACTGCTTGTAAACGCATGCATTGTGGTACTCTCGTGAATGCACGTCAAAAACTGACATGGAAGAGAAGAAATTGTTGAATAAAGTTATTTTTGTTTTCTTTGAACACAAAAAGTGTTCTCGTAGCTTCATAAAATTAAGGTTGAACCACTGATGTCACAAGGACTATTTTAATGATGTCCTTATTACTTTTCTAGGCCTTAAACATGTTAGTTGTATTGCTGTCTATGCAGAATCAGAAAGCTCTCAAATTTCATCAAAAATATCTTAATTCGTCTTCTGAAGATGAACGAAGGTCATACAGGTTTGGAACGACATGAGGGTGAGTAATAAATGACAGAATTTTCATTTTTGGGTGCGCTATCCCTTTAAGACTAAGAGGCTCAAATAAATAAATAAATATTGGTTGTGTATAACTAGTCCACTATTGTGACAATTCAACTATAACACAAATAAAGCATTCTGTATGGAACACATTTGTCAAATCTGACATTGCATCATTTTAGCGATATGGCTGTTTACTACAGTATTTGTATATTTCCAGCCCAATGAGCCAGACATTACTCAGGGAAGTGAATTTGTCCTTCAAATGTTTGCAAAGGTTAGCTGATATGTGGCGGCCAGAATGAAACAGTTGGCAATAACACATGTTGACATACCCTGCCTAGCACATGGCTGGAAACTCCTCAACACATGCTCTTCCCAGTCAGGCTGTAGATGCAGCTGTAGGGAACTCTAGCTGATGAAACGCAGAAGAACCGTCACCGAATTTGGCCAGAGTCACAAAGCAAATGCAAACAGTTTCAGGTGAATGGGTGAGGTGTGGGTAGGGCAGTATATTTAGCAACACTGCAGCACTGCGCCAAAGCAGCATGACCAACTCTCTCGGAGCGGGTGAGCTGGAAGTGTGCCGTTTGCATCCCCTCTGATGGGGTGTGTATGACAGGAATACTCTGCAGCTGGCTGGGTGCCTCGGGGCAGATGGTTGCCTCAGCTACAGTGTGAAGATGCTCACTGGGCGGCTGCAGTGGAGTGGCCTGTTTTCATTAAGCTAATGAATGTCTGGAGCCACTCTCCTGCTCCACGGTGGGCAATTTAGGCTTTATTAGGGGGCACAGTTCAGTGCTGGATGAGGTTTGAAGCGATGCAAGCTGTCCCTCGCAGTCCCCGGCAGAGGCAGGCCGCAGAATGATGGGCATTATGCAGCACTGACAGGCTGAGGATGATAAACCTGACAACCGGAGGCATAAGTGTCAAACCGCATCGGCTTATTATGAGCAAATGGGACTTCTAAGAAAGAGCGTATAGTGTGCTGTTGTGATTGAGACTAGATCACTAACTCCCACTTCTGGAGCCTGGATCAGTGTGTACGTCAGAAAACACTGCCAAAATCCAGGAAAAGCATTCGCTGTTGTGTTTATTGATAACTAAAAAAGCTCGGATGGCTATTCAGTGTGCTGTCATGCAGAATCACTTATTTTTGGAGCCCGCAGTGACTTCAGAGTGTGTGTGTGGCTGGCTGAACAAATTACTTTTCACACATGAATCCCTTTGACAGGGACTTTCACCTGCGCTCGGCGCTCTCTCGTGTGCATTACATTGATTTCTCTGTCAAAATCTTTTCAGAAGTCATTCAAGCCACTCAGACCACTAAGCTCTTGATCAGTTTCATATTGGCACAATCATCAGACACATTTTACTATCATCACATACTGACAGTCATCCTATTGGAGACATTTTTGTTGATTCGTCCAATATGCTATAACTAAACAATCTGGAGACAAAAAGCATCTTTATCCATTGAGGGCCATGCCAACATAACCGTGTACTCTAACAAAATATGTATTTATTTATTTAGAATGTGAAGATGCTGCACAGCAAAACTGCATAAATTAAAACATGAATGAAAAATATCTTAGTTGTATGATATTTCTTAAAAATTATTATTATTATTATTACTTTGAGAAGTACAATTTTGTATACATTAGTAATATGTTTCTGTCATCATTTCTTTAAGTTAAACCAAACTTTTATTTTGGCAAATCTGTGATATTCAGTGTGTATTTGACGGTAGTTTTTTCTCAAATGAAACGGTGTAAAGCTGGTGAAGAGACTCTCAGAGCAGCTCTGGAGATGAAGTTCATGTGTTCATGTTCTTATATATTGAGACAGCAAACAGTAAAAACACTGTGAGTGCAGACTTGTTAGTGTCATGCACTGATTGGCTCTATCACATTTATGTGATTAATCGATATTGAGTAAAAATGTTTAAAACTTATCATCGGTATAAACATATCACTCACAGTGTTTTTAGTGTCTGCTGTCTTAATATATAAGAACAACTATAAGAAAAAAAACTGGTGGTGGATGAGGAGATATCCCCTCATTTGATTGTAAGGAGCTTTGGGTGCACAGCAATACACAATAAAGCGCTATATAAAATCCTTCATTCATTCATTCATTCATAAATTTTATTGCAATCTTGATACAATATTGTTTGCCTCCCAGCTCTAGTTACCACAGATATGAATGTAAATGCCAATACATAACTTTCTCCAGGTATCATAGACCTCCTTTTTTGTCAGGAATTATATCTGTGAGATCATCAAGTGTCTAATGTAATTCTTTGATGTGGAGTTTCAAGAATTTTTGGAATTTAAAAATGGGTCACAGACCAAATATGGTTGAGAATCCCTGCACTAAGACCAGCTTTACTTGTTAATTTAAACTTCCTCAGAAAGAGTCTTAAGAGTTTAAAATCTGTCTCTAATGCATTGTGTACTTAATTCTGAATTTGATTTTGTGGTGCATTAAGAGTGCTGTTCTAGAACACTTCTCTTCTGCTGTCCCAATCTCAACAGACTTGATGCAAATTGCTCCTCTATACTTATCTATTTCGTTTTCATTCTGAAGGTGCATATTCTTATCTATCATGAAAGAGCAATATACTAATCTATTTTTGGTGAATCTTATCATAGCATCAAAAAATTGGAACAGGAGATATTGAAGGACACAGGCACAATTTCTATCTGCTGCCAATATACAATGACTGAATATGATCTACACATTAAGCTAAAGAGATACACATGCTAACTTGTGTTATTTACGGATTTGGGCTTCAGACTGTGCCAATTAAACCTGGAATTATAGAGTCTGCAGAAATAGCTACAACAGCTACAGTCTGCATTTTATGCTGTATAAATGACTGATGTCTAGGGCCAATAAACTTCTAAATATCCTCAAGGCTGTTTCAGCAAAAATGGCACAAAACTCCTCAGGCTTCACAACAGAATGTGCTGCCAGCCAAAGTTGGCAAAGGAAACACTTAACATAACCATTAGTGCAGTTAGGCTGTTTGCCTCTGTTTGAGTTGGAGGTTGAAATATAGCACCCTTGCCATAAGCTGTGAAACCAGATAAGATCCGCAGATGGGGTTAGATATCTGCTGCCAGTGTAGCCAGCTGTGCTGCTAGCGAGGTCTAGCACTGGCTGATAGCAGGATTATTGCTGG